TAGCTAATCCTCAATAGTTGACCCTGCGTCCATGGACCGCCAACACTGCTACGCGACCATCAGAAAACGTGCGCAAATAAAGCATTTCGAGGGACTAACCAACGTTTCACGCCATTTTCGCAGCCATATTTATTGTCCTTTTTCGAAAAAAGTAGAACATAATTTCGAAACGAGGAGCTAACGAATAACATTTTAAGACGAGGCGCATGATTGATCATAGATTAGTCACTAAAAAAGTTAATTTCGAAGGATGCATTTGAACTACTTTTTCCTATAACTTAAGTGAAACTGATCACATGCTCCTTCATTTTTCTTGGTTTCCGTATATGATGTTTAAAATGGTTGATTATTGAAGCGTACTCCGCATTTGCCGTTTCTTTGGAGAAATTTCATAATTTAACATAAACATCATTATGTCAGATAGTTTGATTATTACATTATTGACGAAAAAACATTCAATCGGATAAGATTGCATGAAGAACATTTTTGTTGGGACTACTTACTTTATATGCTAAATGTTCCCTAAAAATAATTAGTTTGTCGACTTGCTCCCTATACTTCACTCTTGGCTAGTTAGTATACGGCATAGCTGTTAAAGTGCATGATTACGTCACCGGAAATAGTAAAAGTAAACAAATTATCTCCACTTTTTCACAAAATGTAAGTGATACCCCGTACAGATTGACCAATTTGATATGGTATTAAACTAGCGTGCGTGTAATCGGCTGCATTATACTTCCTATTTTGCTATTCCGTTCGATGTGAACAAACACTCGTGACTCATACCATAGATATATACAACACATGTATATATACACACCGTTGTATATATCTATGCTCATACATAGGCCATAGCAAGCATTTAATGTCATGATCAATATATCAAATCGCCCAGATTTTGGTTTTTTTTTAACTACAGTTGAAAAACACCTTATCAGGTGAGAATTTGAGGATACATCGATTGCCGGTAGTACTTACTTTTCATGTAGAAAAAATTGTAACAAAGATTTTACAAATATACACCATAGAAAATTCATGACGTAGTCAATTTAAACATAACATCCTTGTACCAAATTTGACGTATCATAGCGGAAGTGCTGCCAGAGTTGGTCGAATGTTGGTCGAATAATGTTGAGTCTACCTATCAGAATGGATCAACATGACTATACGTTGGAATGCTGTCGGGGTTACCTCTATCAAGCGTTCTAAATTTGAACACAAAATCACTTTCCATGCAGTATATTATCTATTTCTATATTAACAAAACCACTACGTGATTTGAAAGCAAATTATCATCTAATTAAACACATCTTTGTGACGTGCTCGTCATGGCGAAAGTGTTAAACGAGTTAATCGAAAGTTGGTCGAATAATGTTACCTATACCTATCAGATAGGATCATCCACATGACTATACGTTGGAATGCTGTCGGGGTTACCTCTATTAAGTGTTCTGAATTTGAACACAAAATCACTTTCCATGCAGTATATTATATATTTCTATATTAACAAAACCACTACGTGATTTGAAGGCAAATTATCATCAAATTAAAAACATCTTTGTGACGTACGTGCTCGTCATGGCGGAAGTGTTAAACGAGTTAATCGAAAGTTTATAGAATAATGTTGATAGTCTATACCTATAAGCATTGATCATCAGCGTGACTATGCGTTGGAGTACTGTCGTTTTCATTTCTATGCCGTGTTGTGAATTTTAAGCATAACATGAACACACGCGCGCACACACAAGTACACGCACATGCGCACACGCACGCGCCACAAATACACATGATAGATTGCAAAATGAAATTACCATATTTACGAAATACTAACAATCTAACCTATTACATTAAGATCTTGCGATATTCAGACGGAAGTATTGCATGATGTGATCAAAAGTTAGTAGAATAACAACTATGCAAGTTTGTAAGTATGGTGATAGCATACACTGCAATGTCGTCACTTGTGCAGTTTTGATATTTGACACGAAAATCTACTTCTAGCACAAATTTATTTCTAAATCTACAACTCTATCGCGTTGCACGGTAATGCAGAATTACCGTGCAATTAATAATAACAATTTACATGTAGATCAGGCCTAATCATGGTTTAGTCAATTAATAATAACCATTTACACGTAGATCAGGCCTAATCATGGTTTAGTCAATTATTAATAACCATCTACACGTAGATCAGGCCTAATCATGGTTTAGGCTGTGAGCGTAGTTGGACGGTCAACAGATTTCAGGGCAAACATTTTACGCAGAAGCAGTGTGTAATCTTTCCTTCGCGTTCACGCCATTGAATTCGGCCGCTATACCGCGACGACTCCAATAAGGTTCACAGTTGCCCACTTACAGTTGCCCACTTACTTAGGTTCACAGTTGTCCGGCTTACATCGCCGTGTTCTTTCGAACATCCAACGATATTAAATTGAGTTCAGCAACAACTTCATCTTGCTGAGTAATACCATAAATATTATATACATTTTAAGTCGAAGTTTTTCAGCGAATACGAACTCTTTTCATCAAATCTTTCGAACTGAACGTTCACGTATCGATTTATCCTTAATCTTATATGTATCGGGTTATTATTTTCAACTATTGACGTGACTGTCATAGTAGCACACCACGTGAAAGATAAAGCGGGTGACGGCACATATGTAGAGCGGGTGTTCGAGCAATGTGTACAAGCTGAGTGCATAATATCAGTGATAATATATGCACATTGCGTTATGTGCGATTATTACGCGTTGGTCATAGTAATACTGCACGCGCAAGCTCCATCGCCGTTCCCAATTTCTCATCCTCTCAAGATTCGTATTGTGGTGTGACCACGTTGTGTGACCTTGAAGAGACGTAAAAAGAAGTAAAAAACAGACACTTGGCGGAGCTTACTGCTGATGTAATGGTGTCACGAGTACAACGTAGGCGAACATATTAAACGAATATAATTTGCAATTGCATATCAAATAGCCTTTCTTTTTGGCATAATTGCATATTATTATATAAACTTTATAATAATTTACGATATTATATTAATATGCGGCTACGGTTGCTGTACAATCGACGAACCCTCATCTACTTCGTGACTAGGCGTAACAAGCCCCATTCAACATGCACGCGTTCTGAAACACTAACTAAACATAACTAACCAACGAAACTATATAGTAACCATTATTTATCCGGGTCATGGTGGCATCTATTTATGCTACAAGACCAGCGATGTGGCAAAAGGCTGCAATTATTGCGAGCCCACCCATTGACACGAATCATACCTGGTCAAGTTTGCGGCCTACATGCAATCTTAACTCCGCATACGATCGCCCTTTACCAATGTAAATTCCTTTAGAAACTCTTAGCAATAGTTTTCGTGCTTTGTCATTAGTATCGCCGGCAATCTGGCCGCCAGAAGATAACACAAACACGACTGCATAATATGCATACGTGACCTTAGAGTGTACGTGAACGTACTCTTTAAACGTTATGGCAACTCTTTCAAAATCTTCGAGGTTAACAAACATAACGCACCGTCTAGACTTGAATATACCGGCTAGAATATTTCTGGAGTAACATTCTTGAAGACACGTTGTTAGTCCGATGATTAACAAGTATACCGTGTAACACCGTTATTGCGACGTGTGTGCGTGTGTGTAACTGGTTTTAAAACTGCCGATTGTCCCTGTCCGTCTGCTTACACTGTTAATCTTATTATCATGGCTCGGTAATTGACATAGCTACACAATGTCATTTCTTCACTACGGTACAGGGGAGTCACACGTTTTGCCCTTGCCATCCTCTGATAATTAGTGTAACGGCCGGTGAATGTCGATCTGGTCTGAATGCACGAGTGATCATTGCCGTCTAATTGAATTATGTCAACAGTAGAATTTGTATGTGCGATCAGCGCAGGTACGTACATGCAGGTCAAGGAGAGAGAGGGGGGTAGAGAGAAAAGAGGGGCGGAGAGAGAGAGTGAGAAAGAAAGGCAGAGATAGTTAGCTAGCTAGCTATATATATATATATATATAGAGAGAGAGAGAGAGAGATAGGGGGGGGGGGGAAAGAGAGAGAGAGAGAGAGAGAGAGAGTGAGAAAGAGAGAGAGAGAGAGTCAGAAATAGCTGGGCCAGACCGCCTGTGCGTACAACGTCACCGGTCGCATCGTGTCGTGTCTGTTGTTGCAGCTAGCTCTTTATCCAATGGTCAGTGCGCGGCTATTTGAGAGTCCACGCAACCAGGA